CATGACCTCACAGTATCCAGGCAACGATTTGCAGAGGGAAGCTGGGCAAAATAGCGAGTTCTGGCGTCCAGAAAATCCTTTCCTGGAAGCAGACAGCCACCTCCCATTCCTGCTTTGTGCACAGCCCGGTTACTGGGACAGTTTGAGTCACCCCCAGTGGGCAGGTGCCCTGCCATCAGGCTGCTCTCCAGTAGAGAAGGCCCTTCCCTGAGAAGGGGAATGGAGCAACTCACAGACACTCAGCACTTGGCTGTTGGTGCCTATAAATAACATGGAGTGTGTAAGACTGTGAGCAAAGGGTCTTTCAGCAGTCAGTTAGGCTGAGGTTCAAACAGCAGCTCAATTGGCCACTCTGTATTATAAGTATTTACTAAAGTTTCCATGGCCAAATGCAGGTGGAAAACAGCCCTGGGGGAACTGAGAGCAGGTACCTGTGGAACCCCAAGTGCAGGGTGTACTGCGTGAGCACCAGGTTCTCTGTCACCAGGTTGTAACTGTTCGCAAACTCCGGCTCTTGCTCACTCAGAGCAGGGATCAAACATGTTTCTTTCTCCAGACCTGGAAGGAAAAGCAGCTCTGTGTCAGGCCCTACCCAGCAGCACTGATAAGAGGAGAGCTCAAGAAGGCCTCTGCTGAGAACACCAAAAGGGCTCATAGTGATGCTGGCAGTGCTTTATTTGTATTCAGCTCTCTCCTTACTCCTCTCTAATCACAGCTGTAACTCTCTCTTTACTGGCACCCATTAAGACGGCGCTACTGGGAGAGGTGAGGACCTGAGGAGACCCCCTTTCCCATTCCCCTGCTCCCCAAGGTTTGGCTGTACCTTTCATGTGTACGTTCTTACTCCTCCTCTCCTCTTCGTTCAGCTCCTTCAGAGCACAGTAGGTAGGGTTGAAGGTTAGCAGCCTCGGAGATTTGGGTTTGCAGAAGGGCTGACACAGCTTCAGGAGGGCAGCCCCCAGGTTGAGGAAGAAGGCATCTGAGGCATACATCTGGAAGAAGATCTCTGGCATCTGGTTAGCCCAAATTTTGGTGCGGCCCGCATTCGCGTGGAGGCAGTTTCCCAGCCAGGAGAGAATCCTGTGCTTTGTCTCTGGAGACAACTGCAACAGGTTCTTCAGCATCTGGTAGATCTTCTCATGGAACTGGGCCATGAACTGTTACAGGGAACAGAATACAGTTGAGGGAGTCCAGCACCTTGAGTTCCGGCACTGGTGTCCGTTCCACAAATGCCACCCAACCCTTTTCCCGAAGCTCAGGCCAAGGACTTTGATAAAACACAAAGACATGGGTTACAAACACCTGAGGCAGCTGGCAAAGCCATTCCCATGTTCCAGCTGGAGACTCCAAAGCAGTTTTGGGACTTGCCTAGTAACAAGTCAGGTTGTTATAGAGCCAGCGGTGGAACTCAAGCCCTGATACCATGTCTTGAACCCTCAGGCAACCAGAGGCCACTAAACACTGTGGGAAGCAGTACTGCCCTGCTTCACTCACCTGATGGATGTTGGATTCCTGCACTTTGATCTCCTGCGGGCTGGATCGGGATGGATTCAGAAAGTAGCCGTGGTTCTCCACCACGCCAGGGGTCTTCAACAAGCAGGAGATATTTAAAATGGCACCAAGCAAAGTCTTCTGGTACATCTGCCCATTGCTGGGATCCTTGGGCTGGATGTAGCCTGCAAAAACCTGGAGAACACGTCAGGACATGCTGACAGTTGTACAAAATCCCAGTAAAAAACCCCTACAAACTGATGGGTTTGGGACAGGCTATGAGAAAGGAGCAGAGGGGTAGGAGCACACACACCAGGTGTTGTACTGCTGGTTTGGCCTCTGCAGGTCCTGGATGACTCAGGAGCTAAATGAGCTCCCCAGAGGGGCTCCTGTCCAGGGTGAGGCACCCACCTTGGCTATGTCCTTCTGCTTTGTGAAGTAGAGGAGCACATCGAGGTATGTGTACAGCAGGATCTGGCAGAGGTCCAGGTCCTTGATTCTCCCCAGCAGGATGTCAAACACAGGAACCATGACCTCCCCGAACGTCCGCACCTCCTCGTCCATCGTTAAGGCCTCTATGACCTCCTCAAGGAACTCTGTCATGTCTTCAAACTCTGGCAGGGTGTGACACAAGGCTGTTACTCACAACGCTACAACAGCCAGACTGACCCAAACACAGCCCTCCCTTTTGGCAACTCCACGTGCCCCAGGGCAGCCTGGCAGCACTGAGCCAGCAGCACAGCTCGGCCACACTTACGTGCCCCCCTCAGTGCCTCCAGCATCAGGTCCACCAGCTGCTCGTACACGTTCTGGTTGACGTAGATCTCCGGGGTGAGGAGCACGGTGCGGGTGTTGGACACCGTCAGGTTGCGGCAGCGCACGGCGAAGGGCAGCAGGTTCTCTGGAACCTTGGTGATCTGTGCAGGGAGGACGGGGCAGTGCTGGGGCCCGGGTTGTTACACCCTCAGCTGGGTCACCCTGGGGCGCAGGGCCGGGTGGCAGAGCTGCCCTCCCCCTGGGCAGGGTCCCTCCTGCCCTGCCCACCTCCTCCCGTGCCCTGCGGAAGCAGGCGTAGAGGTAGCGCAGGATGTGCCGCTCCCCGGCGTCCCGGTCAGCTGAGAGGTTCTGGGTGCTGGCACAGGTCATGTGGATCAGGTGGCTCCCGGGCTCTGGTAGCAGCAGGCGGGTGAACAGGGCCTGGAAACCAGAGCACAGACGGGCACAGTGACACAGCCCCAGCTATTCCCACCGGAAAAGGGAGCCCCACCCCACACAGGCTGATTGATTCCTGCTGGGAAGGACTCTCTCTAGCCCTTGTTAAGTAGCAGAGTGCTGGGCTGAGAACCCTGTGCAAATCCTCCAGTCCCATATGGAGCAACAGCAGCCCCACCAGGAGTCATTTCCACTGAAAACCTCATCAGGAATGGCTGACACAGCCACAGACAAAGCCAAGCATGTGTGTGGACACCGATCACTGAGTTTTGTTTGGTTTTTGTTCCCCTCCCCACCCCCAGTGGATCTGCAGGGCAGCAAACCCCTGCAGCCTCTGGGAGGAAGATTTGGATTCCCCAAACTCTACACCTTTCTCAGCTCCGTACCCCAAAAACCCCACCGACGTTTCCAGCAAAGCTGCGAGAGGCAGTTCCAAGCCAGACTTTGGGAAGGGATTTGGGACGTGTCCCATGTGCGCTGTGAGGAATCACACTCAATTCCTGTGGCCAAAGCTTGCAGAAGGCTGGGGGCCCCACCTGCTCCACGTTGTCCATGTCCAGCCAGTCCTGGTCATCCAGGTCCGCAGCCATTTCCTCCAGGTAGACGCAGCGCGCCGGGATCCCATTCCCGCTCTTCATGCTGGGGTCGCCTGGAAAGGGCAGAGGGACCCGTTCCATCCACAGGGATGGGGACCCTGCAGGCAGGACCTGCCTCTGGCACAGCCCCAGCTGTGTCCCCTCCCCACCGTGCCCTCCCACGTCAGGGCTGAGCCAGCCCACCCGCGGGGTTCCCAGGCTCACTGTTGTCCAGGGTGATGAGGAAGATCCTCTGGATCATGTGGTTGATGTTGAGCTGCTCGCAGAGCTCCCGCTGCGAGCGGAACGAGCGGCTGATCTCGGCCACCGAGTAGTCGCAGTCGTCCAGGCTCTCGGAGACGCTGTTGTCAGAGTCATCCTGGCTGATGGACGTCTCCTCGCCTGCACGGCAGAGCCCTCAGCGCCCCGGGCGACAGCCCTGCCCCTGGGGCAGCCTCGCCCCCTCCCCAAGGGACAGCCCTGCCCGGGGAAGCCCCTGCCCGGGGACAGCCTCGCCCCCCACCTGTCAGCTGCCGCAGCTGCTGTTGCTTCTGGATGGCAGCGAAGTGCTTGGCGGCCGCGACGGAGCCGAAGAGGGCGGCGAAGGGATTGCTGGAGATGCTGTTGTTGTTCTCCTGGTCAGTCATCTCCTCTCAGGGCCGCGCCATGCGAGGGGGCCGGGGCAGGGCTGCAGGGAGAGCCGCCGTCAGGGCTCGGGCGCGCTCCCCCGGTCGCGGCGGGCCCGTCCGGCTCGGTGCGGGGGCTCTGGTCCCAGCCCGGCCCCGCTCCGGCCCCGCCGGTCCCGTCCCGGCCCCGTCCCAGTCCCACCTCGGCGGCCGCCGGAGAGCGCTGCGCGTCACGCGTCGCACCGCAAATGACGACACCACGGCGCCCCGGAAGTGACGCACGGAGCGGAAGTATTTATGGTTCACGGGCGGGGCGGCAGCGCCCCCTGGCGGCGCGGAGGACGAACTACACACGCGGGGACGGAATGAGGATGGGAACAGAAATGGGAATGGGAAGGGGAAGGAAAAGGGCAAGGGGGATGGACGGGGAATGAGGATAGACAGGGAATGGGGATGGCAATGGGACAGGGAATAGGACATGGACACAAGAACGGGACAGGGAATGTGACAGGGAAACAGACAGGGATACGGACACAGACACGAGTCCATCCCTGCTCAGTGGGACCCAAGTGTGTCCCGTGCTGTGAAACCAAGTTTGTGTCTGATGTTCGTCCACTGACGTTCATTTGAATATTGATGACATGTAAAGGGCATGATTAATATGCAAATTCTGCTGTTCTATATAATCAATGCTTACTGACCTTGCACTTACAAACACCCATTTGCAGCTGCATAAACATGGCAAAACTTGCCCCTTTTTATTTTTTAACTTTTTTCTTTTTTTTTTTTTGTTGGGGATTATGTTTGGGGGGAATTTGGGCTGAGGCCGCAGGGGAGGGTGTGTAAGGCCACTGATGTATTTGTTTATATATTTTTATATCACACTCCCTCCCCATCCAGCAGCCCCTCCCCGGACAAACACTGCCAACGGTTTGGGTGGTTTGTCACGAACAGCCTTTACTCTTCCCGCCTTCCTCGGTACAAAAGAACAGCTTAACAAAAGTGCCGCCCTGTGCGCGGGGCGAGGGCGGGGGGCTCGGCCTCGCGGGGAGGGTGGGCTATGGCACTGTCGGCGTGGGCCCCCCCGGGCGGGGGCTCAGGCAGGGAACTCCTGCTCCGGAGGCTCGTCCCGGGTGCCCTCAGCCACGCTGCCGGGGCCGCTCATCGCCCCCAGCGCGTCCTCGCCGGGCCCCGGCAGCGCACAGGGGTGCACGAGGTGGTCCCAGTAGAGGCTGAGCGTGGAGTGCTCCTGCTGCTCCAGCTCCTTCAGCTCGTGCAGCTCCTTGGCGCTGGCCGCCGGCGTTTGCACCTCGAAGGTCATCTCGAAGCGGCTGTAGTCCACGTGGAAGGCGCCTTTCTCCAGGGACATGCAGGGCTCGAAGCGGTATCCCCAGAGGATCTCGTCCTCCGTGTAGGAGGTGCGGGCTTGGCACGTCATTCCTGTGGGGAGACAGCAGCTGAGCTGTGGCACTACCACGAGGGCCCTGCTGCCCAACGAGGGGCTTCCAGCCCTGCATCACCCACTGCTCAGCAGGGCCAGCTTTGGCCCCAGGCAGGACACCAGTCCCGAGCCCAGTTTTGCCTGGCATCTCCAGGACCCCAAGGGAGCCGCCTGTCCCCACCCTGTCCCCTGCCCTGGAGCACTTACCTGTGGCTTCCACAATGCCCTCGAGGATGATGATGATTTCGAACTGGTCCCGGCGCAGTGACTCGGCCGACATGTCCCAGAAGGGGCTGTGGCGGTTGATAACGTGGCAGATGATCTGGGGCTCCACCAGAAACAGACGGTCCTCCCCTGTGTCATAGCCCAGGTTCAGCTCTGACTGCTCCAGGGGAATGAACTCCCCCTCGGCTGTCTGCCGGGACTTGATCAACTTTGCCCGGATCTTGGCGTCCACCATGTGGCTTTCCCGCAAGTCCCCCACGCGGAACATCAGGCAGAGCTTCTCGTCACGGCGGGAGATAACGCAGTTTTTGCTGAAGATGAGGGTCTGGGCTCGCTTCTTGGGCCGGGAGATCTTGACAAACATGCAGCCCACCATCATGGCGTCGATCATGGAGCCCACGATGGACTGAGCCATCAGCAGGATGACACCCTCGGTGCAGTTGGCCGTCACCATCCGGGTACCGTAGCCGATGGTCCGCTGGCTTTCCACTGAGAGGAGCAAGGCAGAGATGAAGCCGTCCACGTTCTCGATGCACGCCTGCCACTCAGGATCGCCCTGGTGCCCAACGTCACCCCGCACCCAGGCGTCGAAGAAGTAGATGAAGCCAAAGACCACCCAGGTGACGATGTAGCACATCATGAAGACAAAGAGGAACCAGCGGTACTTGAGGTCCACAATGGTGGTGAAGATGTCCGAGAGGAACCTCTTCTTGTCCTGGATGTTGCCCAAGTTCACCTGGCACTTGCCCACCTTTGTCACGTAGCGCTGCCGCTGCCGCTTGCCACTCTGGACCATGGGGTTGTCCTCCTCCAGCAGCTTGCACCGCCGGCTCTGCAGCCCCTCCGGGGTGGGGACGGTGGAGCTGCGGGCGGAGGTCTTGCCGCGCGACGAGTTGGGGATGTTGGCCACGCTCAGCGCGTGCAGCGGATACAAACGGGCAGCCGGGTCCTGTGGGGCGGGTGGCGGGCACCAGGACGGGCGGCCACGGAGGTGCTGGGCAGCCAGGCTCCCGCGGCTCAGCGGCAGGGACGCCTCACTGGGGACGAAGCCGCCCCGGCGGGGTGCGGACGGGTAGTTTGGCATCGGGGCGCTTCTCTTGGCAGTGGCGGTGGCGGTGGCGGCGGCGGGTTGCTGCCGGCCGTCCTCCACCAGAGCCCCGGGAGCGGCCGGGACGTCGGGCTGGGGGGGGAAAGGAGCCCGTCGGTGAGAAATGGCCTCTGACAACAACCGCGAGTACCCGGCGGCACCCTGAGCCGAGGGTGCCCCAGAGCCCCGGCGCGAGCCATACCTTCTGGGGGAAGGTGCCGTACCGGCTGGTGTCGGTGGGCGGCCGGGGCAGGTAAGCCAGCATGTGCTTGGCCGTGGGGGTCTGCGCTGCAGGGATGGAGTTGCTGCGGCCACGGGGCTCCTCGGGGGCCCCCCAGCCGCCGGCGCCGCCGCTGTTGCGGGCGTAGGGGAGCACCATGGCGGCGCCGGGGCGGGGGCTCAGCCCCGGGCTGGGCGTGGGGTCCTGCCAGGGGGGGACACAAAGCGGGGGGTTATTTTGGACACGGAGGGCAGTGCAGAGCTCTGGCCCCTCTCCACATCTCCAGGGGCTGGGGTCTGGGGGGAAAGCCCTTGCCCAGCAGTGCATGTGCCAGGCCCGGAGCTGTGCCGGGGCGGCTATGGGCTGGCTCCAGATGGCTAAGCCCATTAGGGGCCATAATTGCATTGCAAGGCCAGGGAAGGAGCCATCGTCCTCCGGTGGGAAGCCGCCCCAGCAGCCGACAAGCTCCGGGTAAGCGCCGTGGCTCTGCTCCACACTCGTTCCGGGCCATGGCTGTGGCTCCCGGTTCTCTAAGGAGCTCCGAGCAGAAATGGGTGGCCTCTGGACAGGCTGTGATATACAGATCCCATAGCTGAGCTCCTTGGGACAGGCTGAGTCCAGCCAGTCCCTGTGGGGAGATGTGATGAGAGGTCACATTCCTGGAAAATCAACCTGGAGTGCAGCGACCCACCGGGACAGGGGTGGGGATGGGGTGGGAATGTGGGTGCTCTGCCCCCTCCAAGCATTCCCTGCTTCTGCAGAGCGGCAGGACCAGCAGTGCAGTGATGGGGGACTCCGGGCCAACCTCCCGGCTCCCCAGACCCCTGGGCACAGGGGGCACCCACCTCATGTCCAGGCAGAGTGGCTGCCAGCCCCAGAGACGTCGTTCTCGGCTTGTGGCTCCTGCTGCGCCCCGGCCACTGCCGGGCATCTTCCCAGCGGTCGTGGACAGGAATCCTCTGCCAGGCTGTGCCACTGTGGCCGGTGGGAGGGAAGAACGGAAGGACAGAGAGCTCGGCGGCGGCCACCAATCCTGCTCCAGCGGCAGAAGGTCACCCGTTAATCTGTCTCAATGACAGGCACAATTACCTTGAGACGATTTAATCAGAAGGAGCAGGCGCCCCAATGCCTGGGGGAAGGAGCAGGAGGGGTTTCCCAGCGGATTTCCCTGTTCTTGCCCTTAGGATGATGCTCACTGTCTGCTCTTTAGGGATGAGATGGTCAGCAAGTGCTGGAAAACATCTCCCCTCTCCTGCCTGGTCTGTGCTTCCACACTAAACGTGGTCTGTGCTCCCTCACCCTCTCCTTTTGGGAGGCCTCTGCGAAGGTCCCCCCTGACACTCACTGGGGTGGACCCCCAGGGCCAGCAGGACTCAGTAATTTGCAGTCTGGCTCCCAATACCAGATAAGAAAGACGCGGATGAAGGAGAGATTAGTCGCTAATCTCCCGGGGAAGATGAATCTGCAAGCTGGACCCCGCGGAGGGGACGCACGTGGGGGTGGATGGGAGCTGAGCGCCAGCACAAAGTTGGGATTTTCCTGATGCTGTGGCCCATCCTTTTCATAGAATCCCAGAATGGTTTGGATTGAAAGGGCCTTAAAGATCATCCAGCTCCAACCCTCTGCCATGGGCAGGGACACCTTCCCCTGGACCAGGCTGCTGTAGATGGGTTTTCCCCATCCTTCTGTTTGCAGCAGGGAGTCCCCTCCCAGACAACAGTTTCCTCACACACAACAAGCACCACAAGCTGTGTCCCGGGTGAGGTGCTGGACACAGGACAGGGTGATTAGTACCCACCTGCAACCTGCTTCCCTCCCTCGGACATCCCCATCCTAGACGCAGCTCTCAAAGGCTCCTTTGCATATTTATTTGATGACCAAATGAGACTCGGGGCCTCCAACCAAGGCACCGACTCCAGAGAAGAGCCCGATGCCGGCTGTCCGCTGCCTGCATCCTGCCCCGGGTGCCCTCCCTGTCCCACCGCGGCCGGAGCTGCTGCTGCTGCTGCTGCCGAGAGGCGCCTTCCCTGCCAAGGCTCTCGCTTCGGGGTGGCCGAGGCTCGGAGGATTTGCATGCCTTGGCTTAACCCTCCCGGGCACGGCGGGACCCTGCCCAGAGTCACGGCGGGGATGCACCCGGCTTTTCCTGCTGAGCCGGGCGCGCTTTTCTTTTAGCGTGGAAAAACCAACAACGGCTGAAAAACGACCGTGGCCACACCCCGGCGTTGGAGGAACAGGCTTGAATTCGCCCCCCCGGGCGGCAGACGCGGCCGGCGGCCGGGCGGACGCTGCTCCACAAACGTTAATGCCCGCGGCCGCCGCTCAGGGCGGCTAATCTGGGCCCAGAGGTTAGCGGGGCGGCGATACCATGGCCGGGGGCTGGTGGGCGAAGGCGCAGGCGGGGGGGATGCTGCTGGCCCTCCTCGGGTGGGTCAGCTCTTGCGTCACCACCTTTGTGCCGCTCTGGAAGAACCTCAACCTGGACCTGAACGAGCTGGAGGTCTGGAACATGGGGCTCTGGCAGGTCTGCATCACCCAGGAGGAAGGGGTGGTCGAGTGCCAAGCCCACGGCTCCTTCCTGGCACTGCCCCCTGAGCTGCGCATCTCTCGCCTCCTGATGTGCGTCTCCAATGGGCTGGGGCTGCTGGGCTGCCTCCTCGCTGCCATGGGGCTGGACAGCTGGAGAGCCTGCGAGGACAAACCCGGGCAAAAGCAGCGTCTCCTGCTCGCTGGGGGAGCGCTGCTTGGCACTGCGGGGATTACCACCCTGGTGCCGGTCTCCTGGGTTGCCTACAACACCGTCCTCGACTTCTGGGATGAGACCGTCCCCGACATCGTGCCCCGGTGGGAGTTTGGGGAGGCCACCTTCCTGGGGTGGTTTGCCGGAGCGTTCCTCGCCGCTGCTGGGCTGCTCCTCGCCTGCAGCGCCCGCTCCACGAGCGCCGCGACACCGCCGGGCCCCGCCTGCCGCCAGCTCCCCGCCACGGGGGGCCCGGGCGGGGGCCACCACCCACACCCCAAAATCGCAGACCTGGTCATCTAGGGCCTCGCTGTGCCCTGCATGCCTCGTGGCTCTTCCCCTGGCAGAGAGGGCTCCTGCACGTTTCACAGGATGATTTGCTAATTGCTACGGCAGCCCTGCCACTTCCTCTGCTTTCTCTGTGTGCCTGCTTCACTTTTTCTCTGTTAAGGAGCAGAAGTTTCCCTGCAGCACTCGCCAAGCGAGCGTGGGAAGGCAACAAGCAGTGGGCAGTACTTTGTACTGCTGGTGACACTGATGGGTGACACCGTGTCGGCAGCTCAGCACAGCAGCTCCTTCCCTGTGTGTCTGTGTCGCTCTGATGCATTTGTAATAAATCATCACGGCCGTTGGCAGTGTGTGTCTGTGCTCTGAACATGCAGCTGCATCCTGCACGAGGGGGATGCAAGGGTTGTGAGGGGCAGCGCTGCCGCTGCAGCAATGTTTCAGTCTGTCCAGGAAAGACTGGGGAAAAAGAGAGAAAAAAGCGGAAAACAAGGGGGAGAGGGAAAATTAGAGACAAGGCAGCACCAATTTTACTCCTGCTGCAGAGGCAGGATGGCAGCGGCCGTGTGCCCTGCAGTAGCCTCATCTTCTCATGGCTAAGATGATAAAGCCGATAATTGCCACAGACCTTTGTGTCAAAAGTTCCTCGACTGCATCATTTACCTGCGCAGAAAAGGTAAGACCGGGGTTCTGCGGGTCTCCTTAACTGTTCCTTCCACATTTTCCTGATTCAGCTGTAAAAATAAAGGCTGCTTGCACACTTCTGCAACCAAGAGCACGGACCATCAGGCTGGATTAGTACCCAGAGTCCTGACAGGGGCCAGCCCGCTGCTACAGCACTGGTTGAAAACCGAGTTCACCGCTGGTTTAATCCCCGGAGGCTCAAAGCCCCGGGCGCGTGACCGATCTCAAGGAAGGCCCAGCCGACAGGGGCATTCCTGGGGGAAGCAAAGTCCACTCCCCTCTAAGTTCGTTTTGAAACCTGCACTTTGCTCTGCTGAAGAGGAGAGGAAGGAACAGGTGGGCAGGGAGAGGGAACAGGGACGGTCCCTGGGAGTTCTGATGCTTCAGGGCTGGGGGTAGAGCTGGTGGTGCCAACAGTGAAGGGGGAGAGATGAGTGCTCTGTCTTTCTGAACAAGGATCAAAGGGAGGTAGAACTGAGGGGTTGGCGTTCCTGGCCATCACCTCCCAAGGAGCTGCATGCCCTGCCAGTTACCCTGAGAGGGCTGACCAATTCAGGGAGCAGAGAGGCTGTTTTGGCTATAACTCCCTTGGGAAATGGGAGGACAGGACAGAGAGCAAAGGATTCCAGCCTGGACACACTCCCATCCAGCCCAACCCAAATATCAGGAATTGACCTGGCACCACTCTGTACTCCTGACACTCTTTGTTGTTTTTTTTCAAGCAGGCTTTGGGGCATTTCAGCTCCTGGCAGCAACACAAAGAACAAGGCAAAGCCACTCGCTGCCTGACAGTCAGAACAAAAGGACTCTCCTATTTCAGGAGTCTCTCCCCAAACCACATCCTACTGCCTGCAAGTGCACAAAAGCCGCCTGGCAATGCCAAGCACTGGCGGGGAAGAGAGAGCACAGCTCCCAGCAGGTCACAGCTTGGGGTCTATGTTCAACAGCTCCGTGTTTTCATCCCTCACAGGCTGAGCACCTCGAGCAGTGAGTTGGAGGCCTCATTCCACTGTTCTGTCACGAAAACAGGGGAAAAGCTGAAAAAGCAACACCCTGGTGCCACAGCACCCCAGTCCCTGAGGAGACACAGGTCACTGGTGGGACACCACCATCACCACCACCATGGACAACGGCAGTTCTACTTCATTGTAAAGTCACTGGGAGAGTGCAAGATTTTCCCACAGGAGCAGTTTATTCCTAAATAACGGGGAAATGCACACCAACAAAACAGTGGGACCATCCCCAGGCAGCTCTGCTAATGACAACATATTTTGTACAGGACGAGCCTTAAGGCAGAACCCCAGAGCGAAATAAAGACACGGAGGGAGCTTTTTCATTCTAACATAGAACAAATGCTTTTATTGCACTGTTAGAAAACTCTGCATAGTCCCAACAAACAGGATCCCCCTCCACTGACTCAGAACTTTTGGCTTACAACAGCTGCCGCAGCTCAAACACAAGCACAGGGCGTCTGCAAAAGGAAATGCCAACAGGGCACTTCGTTAACAAAGTCAACAAAAAACCCCATCACCAACACAATGGGCTGATCTGAGCCCTCACAGTTGTCATCTACACTCATCCAGCCCTGACACTCCACCCAAGGGGAGAAGAAAGTTTGCCTTCCGGCTGTGAGGGGAATATCCTTTGGGGTGGTGTGATTGCCCCGAGCCAGTCAAACTCACAGCCCCGTCCTGGCTCCTCACTACCAGGATTTGCCTGTGCCTCTCTGAGAAAGGCTCCTGCGTGATTTCTGGTGCCAGCTGGAATACAAAAGGCAAAAGCCTGCTTGGCTTGACCAACCCGTGCACGGCTGCCCACACGACAGAGTGTGAGCTGCCGCTCCTCGCTGCCTCCTCCTCACTGAGCCCAGGCTCCCGCGAGCAGGAGCCTGGCTGGGTCGGAACGTGCAACCTCTGGCAGTGACCATTCAGGGAGCTGTAAAAGGATCTGACAGCCCAGTGACTACAGGCAGCACTGTGCACAGAGGAGCCGGGCTCTTGTGCCATCACAGGCCCAGGGGTTGCATCTAGAAAGTTGTCAGGACAGAAGAACCTCTGGAGCTGGGCTGGGCCCTGTGGTGCTGTTGGGGCCTGCGCCTCATGCTACAACAGTCGTCCAGGTCCTTCTCATTACTGCCTCACTTTCTGCCTCAGAAGTGCAATACTGCTTTTTATTCGCTTATATTTACAAAGAACACAGCTCGGAAGCCAAACTGCCCCTCTCCCGCTCCAGCACTGCCCGATGGAGGCCCCGGGCAGGTCAGCAGTGTGACACTGTGGCACAGCGAGTGGTCTGTGGGCTATGTCACAGTCGAGGCCCCATGAATGGACTCCATCACGGCCGCAAAGCGGCTGCACAGGTCGTAGGGGGAGTTGGGCCGGATCTTCGGGGGCTCTTTCAGCACAATGACCTCGGTGGAGCCATCGAGGAGCCGGGGCAGCAGCTCGCCCAGCTTCAGATGCAGCTTTGCTGTCAAGGGGGAGAGGAGGAAATGGTCAGTGGCAGCAGATGGGAGAGGGCTCCAGGCCATGAGCTAATGGGCTGTGCCACTGTGATGCCTCTTGCAGACTCCCATCCCCGTGTCCAGAGCCACCCAGCCCATCAGTGGGGATGGGCAGCGCCTGCTGACCAGAGGAGGCATCGCACCAGCTGCCGCCCAGCTCGGCCAGTCCTCACCCTGCCCGCCTCCCCAGGGCTCTGCCAAGGAAGCTCCACTGCCACCTGGCTGCCAGGGGCCACGTCCCACCAGGACACACCACAGGCTGTTGCACTGGCTGTCAGGCCAGGAATCACTGGGCAACACTCAAATATTGACTGTGCATTTGAGGAGAACAGAACCTTCACAGCCCGTTCCCCTTCGGATGGGGCAGCTCAGCCCTCACCGAGCAGGCACTGTCTGCTCCCAGTGAAGGTCTGTGCCTGGCAGAGGACACGGGGATGCCACTGGAGTGTGTGGTACAGCACAGGCACCTGGGGTGAGAAGAGCCAGCAGCACAGCTGAGACAGCTCACACAACCCAGGCGGGGTGAGCGCTCAACTTCTGGTTCTTTAAAAACCTCTGGGGGTCACAGCCAGCCCAAGAATGGAACACTGCTGTACTGAGATAAATGTATCCAATTTTAAATTTTACAACAGTATTCTGAGAATAAACCTCTATGTTTTTGCATTATTTTCCTTCATCAAGTTTACCCTCTGCTAGTGATAAAAACCCCAAACCTTCACACACAGATCAGGGCAGGTCAGGACCAATTGAACTGAACAGAAATGACCCAAGGGGAGTCACAGGACCCTGACTCCAGAAGGAATTACAGAACAAGAAGAGCTGCCCAGAACCAACATTCAGCTCTACAATGACATACCTCTCTTCAGAACACAGAGATGCTCCGAATCTGCTCCCCCCCCCAATCTTCCACAACCCTGGCCTCTGATAACACCTGCTGCTCCCTCCTGAAGAGGAGCGTGCCATGTCACTGAGCATGTCTGCATTCACCTGCCATCCCTGGGTACCTCCAGTCAGGGAGAAACCTTAACCGAAGACCCAAGCCCCCTGAGGGAACACTAAGCCATTCTTGGGACATCAGCTGTCCCATTTCGGGGAAGAGAGATCCTTCTGCAGCTTGGTTTAGTGCAAAAGATTAAATTCTTCTGTAACAGAATTCAATGGGTGATTCGAATTGATTTCTCTTCCCACAATCAGAAAGGCCCCTACAGTGCAGATGCCAGGAATTTAAGGAAGTGTTTTAAATGGTCCCTTAATTCTTTTCCAGTTCAGATCCAGACACTGCCCTGCCCATGATCAGCACAACAAAGGTAGGGCCAGCAGCTGTTCCCTACCGTCCATGTCTTCTCGTCCCAAATACGAGCACCAGCGGTTCCTCACGACCTCGATGGCATCCAGGTCCTCTCTGGAGATTTCAAAGTTGTTCATGAGGTGCACGCAAGGGATGATCAGCTCATTCAGGATGCTCACGCCCTCTGACACGTGAGCTTCTTCAGAGCTGACGAACAGAGAGGCTGCCAGCTCGTTCAGCTTCTGGAGGCAAAGGGAGAATTGGGGACAGACTTGTAAATGGATAGCCAGGAAAGGTCCAGCTCATGCCCTGCACCAGCAGCCATGCAGAGAACAAGGACTTAACCACCAGGTGCTGGGCTGTGGTGGAACAGCCACCTTTAATCGTGGGAACCACACCATAGAAAACAAACTGGTAAATGTGTATATTCATACACATACATGTAATTTTCTGTATCTACATACAGAATGCATATGGCTTATTTACAACTCTGGTTTTAAGATGCCAAGACCTAGATCTACCTTTGCCTGAATTCCCTGAGAGCTGTATGGCACGCTCTTTCACTGAATTAACATTATTATTTCCATACTGCTGCTGGCACTCAGCAAGGGGCAGACCCGCAGCAACAGACACAGGAGAGACAGTTACACTGGTCTTGGCTACCACGGTGCCCCGGCTGCTCCCTCCCCTCCTCTCCAAGAGTGAGAGCTCAGCTCCTCGATACAAACCAGGAGACACTTCCTTCTGTACAAGGCGATCAGGGACTTGTTCACGCCTCGGTTGGTTCCCTTCAGCAGCAGCTTCTTGTTACTTTGGTAGGCGTAGACCAGGTAGGTGAGCGACTCCTGGTACCTGGGAGAAGAGGGTCAGCTCTGCAGGCCTTGGGCTCTGCCAGGGCCATGACTGCAGCCAGTCCCTTGGCTCACCTCAGGAAACCTTTCCTGCTGGGCCCGGCTGGACTAGCACCAGGCCCAATGGGAAAAGCTGTATTTGGTAGTTTGTCACTGTGAACCACCCCAGAATTCAATTCTGTTTCCATCAAGGAATAATTTCGGAAAGCCTGTTTATTTTCTGAATTAGAAAAATGACTTTTCTGATTTCTATCTTTCCAAAAATGACACTGTTCTCTTCCATCCTGCACAATTTAAGTAAAATACAGTTTCTAGAGAGGTAAGGAGAAAACCAAGGTCCTTTGGGTCTAGAGGACTCTAAAGTGTGTGTTTACACAAAGCATAATGTCCACTTTGAGACAATTTAATTTTAATAAAGGGGCCTGAGGTGAAAAATCCCAAAGTTATGGCAGTCATTCCTGAAAACTCATCTCTGGAAAATAAAATATAAAGCTCTACTTCCCAGACAAAAAAACTTAGGAAAAACTCTCAGAAACTGTCAGACAGCTGGCCAGCAGCTCAGTCTCATATTTGAACTGTTAATCAAGGTTGACTCTCAATTCAAGGAAGGGCTTTTAGCAGGTCAAAAAGAAAGCCAGTCCTGGCCTCAAACACGGGACCGAACACAAACTGGCCATCACGGGTTGGAAAGAAATTCTGTCAGAGTGGCCTTTACTTTTAGCTACAGCTTATCTTGTCCAAACACACAATTAGAGGAACTTACTTTCTATTCTGGTAGAGCTCCAGCCCCGTCAGCAGGTAAATGGACACCTTACGGAAAAGGCTGTAGTCCTCGTGCCATCTCTGTGAGGAGCAGGAGCGAAGCAGAGCATCAGCCTCACCCACAACACCCACACACACAGTTTGGGGTCCCCCGTGACTCTAAAGGGTGTCAGATTTTACCCTCTCTAGTGATTAAACGTCTCTCATAAGTGACATGTAAATGAATTTAGCCAACTGCAGACACTCCTCCAAGCTCAGGAAATATCCAGCATATTCCTTCTCCCACAGCCCCCTCCTGCAGCCCCACGCTGCTGACAGGCGAGCAGTGAACCCCGGGTTTGCCAGCACAGCTCCATGCTGTGCTCCCCACTTCCCACTTCGGACACTGCCAGTTGGGACAGTGTGAAAGATCAGAGGCAGCTCTCTAGTTCCTTACCTTGTACTCCTCCATGTCAATGTCGTCAGGACCGATTTCTCTCAGCTTTGCTTGTGCCACCTTCATGATGCTGATGGACCTGCTCCGTGTGAGCAGAGAAGAGAAAGATCAGAACAGCGGCCCCAGCTGCAGGCAGGTGGGAAAAGCCTTCCCTGGAATCCTGGGCACCCACCGCTCGTCGTAGCTGAGGTTTTTGTCTGCAAACTGCTCAAGGAGGGTCCGTTCCACCACCTGCTGTGGAGCGTTGTTCTGCAAGAAGTAGATGAGCACGTGCTGCAACCGGGCGTCGTTCTGGGGGGTCGGGGTCTCTTTGGCGAGCAGGTACAGCCGGGAGTACTCCTCGTGGAACGCCTGCCGACGGAACACACACGGACACATCTACCTGTCTGCCTGTGGGAATGCCACAGCAGCTGACAGGGAGCTCAAACCTGTCCTATTGGATGGGATTCCCATGGTGACATCAAGCCTGGTGATATTCCACGAACATCTCAACTACAAACCAATGGCCCCCACAGCCAGGCAAACCCTGCACATGAAGTGCGTGCTTCCAAAAGTGCTGGGGAGTCCAAATGACTTGGAGAGAGGGGGTACAGCTGCCTCAGACAGCTTTGCTAACTGTCCTGCAAGTGCTCAGGCTGCAAAAATCAACTGCCACACACTTGTACCTGGAGGAGGTGCAAGAGTACCTTGCGATTTATATTCCCATTTATATTCCCATAATCACCACGGGTGATTCTTCCCATGTGGCATGTTTAGTTAAATCTACCTGCCTGTAAAATCTAACATCAGCTTCAACGTTCAGCAGTGCTTATGCTCTCAACACCCTCTGTTCATGCAGACATTTCTCGAGGACACGTTTGACAACAGAGGTCACAGTAAGGGAGCATGTTCAGGACCAAAAAAACAAATTTCACAGTACTAAAAGAATAAGCAGGAAAAAAGTTGCTGTTTGCCCTGGGAGGAGTGAGTTCTTTCTTGGAAGCTCTAAAAGTTGTTTTGAACAGACAGATATGTCATCACAATAAGAGAGCAGGAACTAACATGCAGGACAAAGGCCATTAGCTAGAAGAAAAACTGCACAAATCGTTCCCTTCACATTCTAAGAAAACAGATATCCATACTATTGGATTTAGCAAACAAATCAATACCTTAACAAGCCCTGCTTCAGACCCATGGCGATCAAAGGTCTGGCGGGCTTTTGCAATAGCCAGGATGACACCTTGCATGGCTGGACTCAGCATCACCTACCATGAAAGCAGGAGAACAGACACAAACAAGAACAAGGAAAACAGTAACGGACAGGGAAAGAAGAGAAAGGCACAGTGAAGAATGGAACAAACTTTCAAAAGATAAGGTTTAAAGGAAATCATATGAGTACAGGTGTGATACCTGGGGCTGTGAGTTACTTGCATTCTACTGACTCTATCGATCACATGCACTTTACATGCAGGGCTTTCCTTAGGCATTTAAAGATCTAAAGGCTCGTCACTCCAAGCCTTGAATTTGAAAATGAAACAAGTGAGAAGGTAAAGCCTGCTGGCCATGTCCCCCACATCCCACTCAATCTTCCTAAGCCATATAAAATGAGAGCAGCACCTATGGCACAGCAATTCCTTGTGCCAATTTCACACAAGCACATCAGACATACTCAAGGAGTGACAGCCTCAGTGTTTGCGTGAAATCCAACTGCACTTGTGAAAGAGAGAGAACTTCCAAAACACTGCTTGAGCATGTGTGTGAGTGGTTAAATGGTCAGACCCAAAAAAAGCAGTGGGCAGAGTATGTAAGTTCTGCTGTTAGGGATAAGGTCTTTGAGAGAGGGGACAAAACTGTAACTACAGCCAGCAAAGAAGCTTGTAAAGAAATTAACACGGGTGGGGTTAATTATGATACAGTTGTGCCAGAAAAAGGACTTAGGACCAATGTGCAGATCAACCAATCAAGCACTCTTACAGAGCTGCTTTTCTAATGGCATTTAGAAATGGAATTATGGAACAATTTGGTCTGTCCAGCTTCCTTTCCACAGTGGGAAAATGCACTTTGTACAGGGTGTTGTTCCTGTGACAGACACTATCACACCCACCCCTAGGGCAGCTCAAAGCCAGCTAACTACAAAACTACGGGCTAACAAGCGGCGGTAATTAACCCCTGCACTGGGATCTGTACCTCCTCATCATATCCGTCTGCATCAGATCTAACAGGAATCTTCCCCACACTGGGGATTTCCACTTCAGAGACCTGTGAGCTAGTTTGGGCAGCAGCCTCTGCTTCCTGAGAATCCTGGGGCTGCTCTGCCTGAACTGTGAGGGCTGTTTCTCCCGGCTGGGCCTTCAGCGGCTCTACCTCCTTGGGCTGTGGCCGAGAAGAAAAAGAAGAAAGAGAGTAAGAAAATCCAAAACAAAATACAGGAAAGCCAAAGGGGACTGAGTTAAACGTGGCTACAGAAGTTCATAGAAATGGGAAAAGCAAAGGTCTGTAAAGAAGACAAGAGACAAGGGGCTGGTTTCTGGGCCAGGGCTCAGCTCCTACCTCGCACAGAGCTGCCTCGACGCCGTTCTTCTCGTAGGCATCAGCAGTGTTGGCGATGGCCTTGGCAGTCTGTTCCTTGGCAATCCTGGCGTGCTCCGAGGACAGGGAGTGCACACCCTGCTCACAGACTGACGACTGATCTGTCAGGACAGAGGTGTGGTACTAGTGAGCACCAGCTGCAACACTTCTTCTCCTCTCTTGTTCTAAAATGTTTTGCAGCTTGTCCATGCAGTGTTACACAGCTGCTGCCTTCATCCCAGAGGTGAAGGCACTTCACGTGAGTGTGTGCGTACCCTTTCCAGTGGGAATGGCACATGTCATCAGGGATTGTCAAGTAACGTTTCCCACTCCAGAGAACAGCACTTGTCCACTTGATATTTATGAAAAAAAGAAAAAGCTGGAAGTGAACTGAGATTAGCCCACAATGATTAAGTGAACAAGAAACAGCATTTCTGGGGACAAGCCTGGAAGGATGCACATGCAGAACCAGAACAGCCTTTTGTACTGCAAGGGCAGAGCCTCCAGCAGCTGCCTTTGCTGCTTCACCCACAGCTTCTTCTGCATTCTGAGACATTTGTGCAAGGCTCCAATGCAATGGCACTGGCAACCAGCTGGCTGTTACTGGTTCCAACACAGTTTGCAAATTCAGAGTGGGATTACCTGGTCCTGACTCAGAGGAGAGGTCCTGCGACTCAGAAGCAGGCGAAGGCTCCATCTGTGGAATCTTGCAAGATTGCTCCTCCTCCCACTCCTCTGCCTCCTGCTCCAGGCGCCAGTTGTCCTCCTGGATGTAGTGTCTCAGTTCTGGGGTCAAGGCTTCCACTTCTTTCTGGATCTGTACAGCCTCTGGGCCCTCATCCTCATCTGGGGGAAATGCAAGACCAGCATAAAGAAACACATTGTGGCAGGACACCACCCTTAGGGACTAAACACACACACAATATTATGGGCAGCCACAAGCAAACTGGCTGAGGGATAAACGGGGAAACCCCCCAACTTTCTACTGGCTTTGTAATATAAGGTGATCCAGAAGCAAAGGTGCAAAAATAAAGACAGATCTACAGAGTTATCTGAAACAAAACCTAGTTTTGTTCTACCACTGGACAGCATTTAACACAGAGCAATTCCAGAAGCAGCGCCTGCTGATGCAGGTCAGACACATCCTGATCCAAGGGCTCCAGTCATACAGGGAACAGCACTGAACTGTCAACTGCCAACAGCTCAGCCAGAGGTGTCACACCTGCAGCACTGCATGACAGCTGAAGGTAGGGGTGTGCACGGGTTTTATAGTATAAATGTCACACTGGTATTTCTCAATGCTTTTCAGATCTACTTCAATATTCACTTTTAAAATAGCACAAAACCCAAGCAGCATCAGCTTTAGACAAGATCTAAAATTTATCAAAAGCAAATGGCAATTCTCTACAGCAGATATTTCTTATGCACCCATTGCAAAAGCAAAGTGTCTTTAAAAATCAACAAAAATTGCATTAAATAGGAGAAAAAACCACCCCATGGTTTCATTTCAGAACTGTCATAGGAAAACAAAGAACAAACTTTAGATTCTCATCAGCCACATTTAGCAATGAACAGAATGACAGCTCTCCATTGTTTCCTTCTATTTATTACATCAAAATGAGCCATGGATGAAATTATTGGGTTCTTGTACAGCTGTTTGCCATCTCTAGTGCCACGTGCACCGCAATTTCTCCACAAAACTATTTATACATTGGCACTGCAAATACACTTGTAAGTCTGAGCCACTCAGATACTGTTACCTCACACATGGAGAAAGGCTGCACAAAAACCAGCCTGTTTACATTCAATGTAATGGAATCACCAAAGACCAAACAAATGACTCAGGAAATGTGATAAAAATGGGAGAGATAAAGAAGCAGGTAATTCACACGCCTTCAGTAAACAAACACTGCCATATAAACTCTATGAAGAGTCAAAGTGAAGAACACCAACACTACATGCACGTTGAACGTGGCAAAAGGGCAGCCTGAGTTTGTACACACATAAATAATGCACCAGGTGCTGTTCCCAATCTCACCTGGATGGTTCTCCCTGCAGTTTTCAGCCCTATCCGGGATTTACAAATTAATTGAGTACAAAGTAGATTATTTCACTCCTATCCGAGGTGAAGTTTTGTGCTTTGTCAAAAGACAATCGGTGCCATAGGGAAGTTGAGGAACACAATGATCACACAGCCCAGAGGGACACACCAACATGCAAACATCTCATTAACCAGTGGCTGTGGCTCAGTACCTGCACCAACACAGGACACCTGGTCACTGATGTACATCAGGCAGTAGGCACTGGTGTTCCTCAGGCCTCCAAACGACTCCCGCTCCAGCTCTTCCCACGATGACTCCGTCACCGAGATGTCGTTGTACTTGAGCCACCTTTTCCGAGGCTGGTTGTATATGAAGGCCCAGTAATGCCCAGCATTTGCTTGCCCTTCGTGGACCAGGACTGCGTGCAAACGATAGGGAACCTGCCAAGTGACACCGACACTGTTCACGTGTGCTGTCAGGGACAGACTCTGCCTGATCTCTGTGCTGAAACAGCAGGGGTGTTCACAGGTGTAGCCTGGCAATTTGATAAATTTTCTACTACGAGCTGACTTTTAAGGAAAGAAGAAACAAGATTTTCATAAATAAATCGTACTCTGCTTCATCACTAGGAACTTTACCATATATCAAAGAGGGCAATTTAAACTGACAGCTACTAACAAAAAACAGTATCAGCAAACTGGTTTAATATTTAGGTACTGAAGCTGCATTTCCTACCTGTCGTAGGAGAGGGTCAAGGTACATTTGTTTGATGGACAGGTTGGTTCTGGCAATAGACTCCTTCAGATCTGCCAAGAACATCACCAATGAGAGAAATGCCTAAAAATTAATGACTCCTCATCAGGCTATGCCAGCCCCTTTCACTTCAAAGAGTTTGAAGCCAGGCTGGAACTATAAGATACACTCAACACCAGAGCTCAAACAGGGACAAGATTATTTGTGGTTCAGGCTGTATCCAGCAAAGCAACAGAGGTGAAACCAGGCTGGTATTGAGGAGCAAAATCACTACAAATGCATTTGGGGCCAACCTTGCATATCTTGTTTGATCTCGTTTCTCCATCGCTGCAGACACGTCCGAACCAGGTTCAGCTCCTCCTCGGAGACCACGTGGGGAGCTGGATGTTCAGACAACTCTGCTGGTGGAACAGAAGGCTGGAGCTCCACATTGGAGTTTTGCTGTGGTGAAGAATTTGCCAAAAAGAAAGCTCCATCTTCAGTACTAGTATCCGTCCTTTCTAATATGCTGTGGTGGTACAAAATGTAAAGGGAAAAGTACACTGAAAGGTGCTTCTGCCTTCACAGATCAGACTAAAATACAGGACAAATACAAGGGAAAATTCTTATAGAATTCTGTAAGCACAGATCCACAATGAACAATTCTAAAAATTCCTTTTATCACTTGTAAGAAACTCGTGTATTTACTCAGCTTAATTTAGATTGTTAAACCAACCATGCCGGCCTGGGATATAATAATCCAATATTGCTGTAATTTACTGGTTGACGAAGCAAAAAAATGAATAGCCTAACCAAAAAGAGCAGGTAATTTAACTCAGACTTGCTGCTTAGACAAGGAATATGGGGATGCTTTTGGACAAGGAGAAAGAACACGCAGTGTTCTATTTTAACCAACAGAACCAAATGACCAGCAAAGCAGGGACCCACTACCTGCACAAGCACTTGTACATCAGAGCATCATGCTCACCAGTGCCCAGGTAAATAACCCACTTTTGGAATGCCACCCAGGAGCATTTAGCTGGGAGGTGAAGTGTTCTCCTGTGAATCCTTTTTATTGTTTACTGACCCATTTGGCTGTGAAAGCACGTCCAAAACATGAGGCTCGGCTTGGGAGTGCAGGAGTGTTGTCTGAGAGCCCTGAGCAGAGGGAACAGCCCCAGCTGGCTTTGTAGTGATGAACTCGAGCACATACTGCAGCATGTCAGGCAGCGGGAAGCGAGCTGGGCCAGAGCCATATTCCATGTACCTATGGAAAAATGCAAGGGGTTGCATGAATGAAGGAATGAGACAGGTTCAACCTCAGGGGACAAAGAGGGAAGAAAACTGCTGGGTTGGGATGAAGGCAGTTTAGCAAGTGAAGGAAGGAGAAGAAAAACCCAGGTGACCTCAAAAGCCTTGAGGCTGTGGACACTGCTCAGCAGCAGCCACAAGCTTTGTGCTATCAGCAGGTTTTGGCCACAAACACAAAAGACAGCACCAATCTGGAGACAATTAACCCCATGCCAGCCAGAGCCTGTGGGGTGCTGCCCATGAGGCCTGGTTACACCCCGTGCTCTCACTGCCACCAGAACGTCCCCGAGCACAGATGGCACTGGGGCTGCTGTGACACAGCACAACCCTCTGCTGCCACTTGGCCACAGAACTGCCACTGCAAAATACCAACTGTGAGCGAGTTCCACGCTGAGTAAAAGGACTTTTACACAAAGCACTTGGGACATGAAATCTTCTGGTTGTCCCCAAACCAGGTCTTCCCTATCGATCTCCTTCCTCCTCCTGTCAATAATGCCAAACTCTAAGCAGGAGGGGACCTCTAATATGCACAGTAACATAGATTCTTTTTAATATATTAGTGGGCTTCCACGCCTTCCCTGCCAATGCAGCTGACAGTGGCAACTGTGCTCTTTAAAGAATTTAGTCCTGTAACAGTATCAGTAATATTCAGAAACCATAGCAGCCACAGGTTTGTTTTTGAAACCTCACTTCCCCTCTCCACACTTCTCAGAACAAACCCGGTGCTGTTCCTCCTTCCTCTACAAGTCTCTCTGTTACTGGAAAGCTCATTTAAAAGGAAACATTTGCACACTTCCAGAAGGCACAAAAACAAAGCCAGCTTACTACTCACCTTTCTAGTTTCTGTTGCAGAATCACCATTTTCTCCTTCAATCTCTTAATTTCTCCTCTCTTTATCTGAATAAGCTCTTTATTGCAGTAGAGGTACCTAAACAGAAATATAGAGCCCCACCAGTAGGGTGAGATTTGTTTACTTCTAACATCCACAATCTTCTGTAAACATTTTAGAATCTTTCCTTGCTCATCCAAACAATCTTTTAAATTTCTTTATTTACAATAAACCAACAGCTTTAAACATATCGTACAACAAGGCAACTCACCTGTCCATATAAATAGTCTGGGGAAACTCTAGCTTGGTGTGAATTTTCTCTGGCTGTCCTAGTGACTGATTGAACTCAAATCGGGAGAGTTCAAAGGTCAGAACTGGTGGGAGTTTTGTAAACCAGCGCTGTAACAAAAGCAGAAATGCCCCCAAAGGGACTTGTTTTAAGATGACTGCTAATGGCACATTTTAGACTGATACCACATGATTATAGACTGATTTGAATGTCTCTGTCCTTAGGCACTGAATTAGGTTTTGTTTGTGAAGTCAAAAAGCCAAATTTTACAAGGTAAAAATTTATGCTTCCATTTTACATTTTTACTGTGAAAAAGCCTCAGAATTGCTCTCAAAGTTACTTGTCATTGTCTGATGCATCCAGCTTGATGGATTACTAAGAAGTCCAGCACTGAATTTCACAAATTAGCAGAGGCTACACACACTCTGCACATCAACCAAGAGCCCCCAAGAAAACTCTTTTCGGAGGTCATGTGCAATGATGAACAAACCAGGAGTCCTCCCACTGCACTGGGTTCCTTATCCTCTCTCACTCTAATTATAAACTCCTTGATTTAGGGGATTCAGAGAAGACCCCCACTTTCTGTAGCTTCATATACTGTTTCAAAGAGCCATGCTGAAAGAAGAATTCACAGTTGAATTTACACTTCCTCTCTCTCTTCTTGGGTTCACAAATACTTGCAGCATCCACTGCCAGAACCTTCCTTCACCTATTTCAGCTTGGCACCACCCACTCCGTGCTCCCCTCTGGACTTGGGATGAGCACACTAAGCTCGTTTTCCTTTGTGAGATTCATGTTAGGTGTGCTGCCACAATAAACCTCTCCCACACCAGAGTTTTGTGAGAAGGAGCCCACAACCAAAGAGGAGGAATGATTTACAGTCCTGCTGTCTGTGAGAAAGGTAAACTCCCGTTAATCCCAGTGTTGCTTTGAGCTTCAGCACACTTATCTAGGGGCTTGGGAGACAAAATCACCTTATTCCCTATGTCTTCTATCATGCCACCCACCAGCCACCATATCCTAGGAAGTGAAATTATCCAGTCAGATTTCTCAGAAATTAGGCCAGAGCCTTTTCCTTCTATCTGTGCAAAGAATGATTAAAACAACTCCATGATCGGTCAAATTTCCCTTCATTTTAGACAAAGGATTTGGAGGAACTAAAAAGCTTGGATTGAAATGAACCTGGCCAATGAGCTGCTATGTCCCTTTGTCTCCAGTGCCAGCCCACACCAGCTTCACCCACATCCCCTGGGAACACACCTGAACGGCTTCAGGCAGGAACCAGGAAAACTCAGAACAAACATTTGAGTCCAGAGTTGGAACAGGGCTCACCTGCCCAGGACTTCATTTCTCCTTTGCTATTTTAAACCACAGCAACACAATTTTCAGACATTCTCATAGAACTGAAATACCTTTCACTGCCCCACCTACACCAAACACCTTTGCCAACATCTTCATGTTGTTTCCCAGCCTTTCTCGAAGCTAACTCCAGCTGCACTTACACACAGAGGATGCTCAATGTAATGGTGCACCTTCACCTTCTAGTTTGCTGCAACTAAGTATTTTATGATTGATTTGTGATTAGTGAGATTAAAAAAAGAAGAAAGAAAAAAAATCATCACAGTCAGAAAATACGAGTGAAAGGAAGAAAAACCCCAAACCGCACACAGTGTAACAGGGAGAAAGAGACAAATTCCAAATGGCATACCATGGAGTTAAGCACTGTACTTTTACCCTCCGAAAACATGGAGGCAGTAGGTCTCCCCCTACTCAGGTACAGGCAGGCTTCAACAGAGAGACTTCATCACACTTGATTCAGAAGCAAACGTTGACCTTTGCAATTCAAAATAAACTCCTTGAACTGGTTACATAGGACAACACATCTTTACAAATCAGCAAAGTGTCTCACGATGTAACACTAAAATTTTAAGAGATTCCAGGTATCCAGACAATATTTTGTTTTCAATTCTTAGGGAACACTCACAGTTGCCATTTAAAGTTATCAGAGATACCTCTGTGCTGTGTGTGCTGCACTTCTCTGCAGCAGGCAACCAAAGGCTTGACAAAAAGAGGTAAAACTAACCTCCTGTCCATACTTCATTGACTGAGATGCTGTCGCCTCATTCATCTCTCCCTCCACCATGGCTCCTTCCAAGCACTCACTCAAGTTCCGATAACCATTTACCTGAAGGGGATACTGACCAAAGGTCTCAATCTTGGAAAAAGTGTTGCCTGGATGATGGAAACCATACAAAAACCATGAGCTAACTCAAGAGAACAAAAAACTCTAGTTAACTCTGAAACACTCAAATGAGTTAAAAAGTTGAGTCTACCAAAGCCTTAACTCACCTTTGTGGACACCCTCAGTCAGGAAAGTCCCATAGAAGAGCTGCACCATTGGGTTTTCAGATTTGTCCCCGGGGTTCCTGTTTCAAAAAGCAAAAGCACACATTCATTTGCAGCTGGAGGCTGCAAAAAAACCACAGGTAGTAATCTAAGCCTCTGCTTGGGAGTCTACAGGCAAAAGTACAGTTTTCTATCAAAGCACAAAATACAGAGGAAGCTTCTTATCCATTTTCATGCTCTAAAGAACATTATAACACCTGCACTGGCAAGGGGGAAAAAAGATGTTAAGGTGCCAGCTTTTGAAATGCAGTTCCAAAAACCCAGAGCTTTCCTGTTCACCAGCTCTACCAAACTCCCCTCAAAAGCTCATTTACTCCACAGGCTGCATAGGCACTGAGTGAAGTCCCACGCTCACAAACAGGAGATGTGGACACCATGGTTTGTAAGGACATTTTGAGCTTAAAGAGCCTCACCCACAGCAAATAAAGAACTCTCATTTGCTCAAAATTTTCATTTAAAGTCCTCCTATTTATTAAAACTCTCCTTAGAGTCAGGTCAAACTCCCGAGATCACCCAGGACTCACGTGACATTCACGGTGAGCTGGAACGCATCCTCCAGCCAGTCCAGCAGTTTGTGTGTAAATTCACTCACATCTTGCTAGAAGAGAGACAGGAGTGGAGAGTCAGTCGTGACACCCATGAGAAAGTGTTCCCCCGGTCTGCTGGTGTCACAGACCCACTGAACACAACCCGACTGATACTGCTGTACCCACCCAGCTGAGTTACGTGTGAGACTGAAGTGCTGTGAGCTGATTTAGGTTGATAATGAACACTCTGCTCATCTGAACACTAGATCAGAGGAAATTATCGTGATCACTACCCGACTAGGCAGATGGCACTGGGTAGTGCTACGCTGGCTGGTTAATTAGCAGGCATGTACATTCTGCCTAAATGACACCAGGACAGCTGCTTGTCGGCTGACAAACAGGGGAAGAGGCCTCTGGAAGCACCAGCAGGATGAAGCAAAATGGGATTGCTGTGGCTGTGACTGCTGGTTCAAAGAGAGCAAAAGGCTTTTCAACGTGGTTTTACCTGTGGTTCTTCAGATCTAAACACATCCCTCAAGAGTTCCAGTGCTGCAGAAGGGTCTACAAACTTACGCCGTGTCCCCAGCATCAACGCAAACAGACACTGAAGTTCTTGCATGAATGCGATATTTCTTTTTACCTGCATTGCAAAAAGAAGAGAAGCCAAAGCCTTCCTGCAACTCAAAAAAAGCAGCATCTTAAAACTAAGTGCTACAGGACACCACACGCACATATTGTAAAAGGTACCCAGCAACTAAGGAAAGAGGTGACATAAAAAAGGGCAAAAGCAGGAAGACATGCAGTGTCACAAGCTGGGATGATACAACAAGCAAAGGATTATTCTATGTATGCCTTTTTCTCTAAGTATTTTCTAAGCACCTTCTGCTGACCACTCTCAGAAGGTACTGGGGCTAGAGGGACCTGCAGACTGCCTCAAATATTGGTTCTTCTATTGTGTATGCAAACCAATGAACAATCTGGAGCTGCCAAAGAAGTTTTATGAGAAGAATTTCTCCCCATACAGCAGTTAAAGGCTCTAGAGGTCAGTGGTGCAAGAAGCAGCTCTTTTTTTTCCTATCCCAATTCTGTCCTTGAGAATTATTTCCCAAATTTGTCTTTAACATAGCCAGATCATTTTAAAGCCATTAACACAGGCACAGTAGTCGCAGATGGCCCCAAATTAAATCTGCTTATAGAAAGAGCAGAACACTACACCACAAAAGAGGGAAACTTGACAGTGTTACTGAATCAAAAACTTACAGTGTGACTACGACATCTTTCAAGCACATTGTGTGAGAGGGAGTACCCCAGGACCAGCCTCCGGAATTCTGGCAACTGAAACAGAGACTGAAAGGAGAGGAGAGATAAAGCCCAGTCAGCATCTGCAAGGACTGGACTCACTGCAAGTTGACTCCCCGCTGTCACTCTCTGACCCCACAGCTTTATTTTGTGAACTTCTCCCTCCCCAGTGGCCCTGTGTTCACCTGTGTTACTGAACATGTTTACAACATTTACAGCCCATGCTAGAACAGTGTGTTCGTAGCCACCCAAGGACAAAATCTCATCCTGCCATTTCTAGGATTGAGAAATAACCATTTTAGGAAAGAGCATTCTATTCTGCATAGGTAGGCTCAGAAAAGCACTCAAGAACAAGCCTCAGTGAGAAAGGCCTATTTGCAGCTTTCTTACTTCCTCTCAGAGCTGGAGACAAATGATTAACATCTCTCTGCTGATGTGAAATTGTTAGGAGAGACAAATCTGCTCGGTTCCACTTACTGCTGTCTCTTCTTTAGGTCATCACTAATAATATACCTGCCTAGTTGTTCATTTGTCCAAGCATCTATGCCTGTGTATTCCATTAAATGGAATATGATACACCGTGTGTTATGGAGCCAACAATAACTGCAGTAAAATTAAATTATCAGTTCATTTTGCCAAGCAAGCTTCTATCATTCAGTAGGCACTTGGCCATCGCTGCACAAAGCCCTGGGTATGGACACACAGATTCTCTGTATCTGTAGCTATTTTTAAGCAAAGCCTATTTAAAGCCTATTTAACTGCTTTTTGGCTCTTTCTGTGCAGGCCCAGAACACATCAGTCACATCACATAAACCCAGAAGTTTCTGTGTTTGAGCAGGGTCACATTCACTCATCTGCATATGATGATCCCTTCACAGAGTTGCTGGGTATTTACTTCTGAGAAACGTTTTGACTCCAAGACCGCAGCAAGTTTGCTATCAGAAAAAGAGAACTTTCTTACAGGTTACCTGTATAACAGCACTAAACCAACACGTATTTCCTATATTTTTCATTCCAACAGGCCAGTCACCCGCTCTTCTCCAGTCATTCCGCTTGGAGTTCCCTCCCCAGACTTCACAGCGTTTCCTTTTGGAGCGGTTTTTGTTTTCAGTGGAATGCGTGTCCTGGGGTCTGTCATGAGAGATGAACGCTGTGCTGTAAAACACCCCCCGAAGATTCCCAACAGCTATGGGAATCAAACTCCCCTCTAGCCAGTACATGTCCACCTGGTAGGTAATCCACGTTTGCTCTGCAGTTATCAGCTTAAGAACCCACTTATGATACCTGGGAAAACCAGAGCCCATTTACAGCCCCACTGACCTTTCGGTTGCATCCCTTTCTGCAGCCGGAGCTTTTGGTGATTCCAGGGGTCTGACGGTGTTGGCTGTGTGAAGGTTGTCCTGGCTGTGAGGGGCAGGCACAGCACTAACATCTAGAAGAGAAGGCAGAGTTCTGATCAGTGTCCCACCACCAGCAGCAAAAGTTCTCTTTAAAAGGAACCTCTAGAAAACATCACACTTCACAAATACAGTTTTTCAATTGATATGAGCAAAATTTTCTAGATCAGGTTTTAAACAGAAATCCCTGTTCAGATTGTGCCAGGCAACCCAAGAGCCACCGAGTGGGCTGGATGAGAACAGGGCAGAGCACGCAGCTGTGTTCTCTGCCCAGATTTCCTTACAGCCAAATCCAGAGCTTGCAGGAACACTTCAGAGCTCCTGAAACAATGAAATGGGAACACCAGCTTTGTAACTGTGATGTGTCACCTATGAACGTTATTAGAACACTATTAAGAGATCAGTACTGGCAAAATCAGATCCTCACAGGAGCCAGAGGGATGTGCTGTCAGAAGCAGGGGGGCAGATACTTCCCCTCTGAGCTCACAGAAACAAACACTGAAGCCATTAGGGGGAGCAGAGGTGACAGACTTACCCCGTGGGAGCTGTTTGCCCACCGCGCTCCCTTCCCAGGCAGAGGGCTCTGCAGCGGCCAGGTCCTGCGCCGGCTCCTGGGCATGCTCCTCTGTCAGGAAGGTGACTGCTTCCATCAGGTCTCCATTAGCAGCCTGACAGAATGATAGTGCAAAAATAAAGCACCAGTGAGGAGCAGAAAAGCAGCAAAGGATTTACCCTTTGCCTCTCATGCATCCAGGTTGTTCCTGGATAGCTCCCACAGGCACGCACCGACCATTCTAACGAGGACCAGCTCAGCGTCAGCCCACAGACACACCAGCAAACATCCGACCTGTGTGCTCTGTTTGGAAAGAGCCTGAACTTGCCTGACTTTTTGGGCAAATTCAGAGCTCTCTTTCCCGAGAACAATGACAATATATACAAACCTTAAGAGCTGCGAGCAGGAATGCTGAATCCTGAATTCCTGTGATCTCTTTCATCTGGTTTAAGAGCATCTGGCAATCCTATGTGCAAGAAATAAAGAAAGCTCATGTAAAAATGTGACCAGGATGGACATCAAGCTGTTTCTGCAAGGCTTGCTGAGGGCTCACCGGACCACTGTTTCTTTCCTTCCTTTCTGCTAAGAGAGTGACGCACAAGCCCAGTCACACTTGCTTGGTGGAAATACCAACATCAGCTTGAACATCACACTCAGGTTTTTTCCCCGCTAAATTCACAGACTAATGTTCAATCTGGTATATCCTCAGGAAAATGCAGGCAGGCCCGGGAGGACAGGCTACCCCTGCTGTCGGATGTGCCACACCTGCAGTGGGAAGGGGCTCCCCGCCCCCCCCGAGGCAGCAGCATGTGCAGCAGGACATATAAGGATCCCAGGGCACTGGTGGGAGCTATTTTCAGTCTGGTGGCACATGCCATTTGTGGGTGTCACGTCTCACTGACAATAAGGTGTCAGAGTGGGGGCCTGGGAGGCTGTTATTGCTCCTCCTTCACCCTCCACACAGGCCACTCAAGGTTTGGTGAGACATTCAGTGCTCAAGGCCCCAAGCTACAGTTCATAACCCGTCCTTTGGCCAGTTCAGACACTTAGAAGAGTACAAAAATTCTCTTTACCAGACTTATAAAATCTTTGCAGCCTTAGCTTAGCACAGGGTGGTAACTGCGCTTGCCAAACCACAAATAATCTCAGTCAACAGCTATTGGGAGAGGCAGCTCTCCCCAGTGCTGGAGGTCCCAGTACCCCCAATCACAGCCACAGTTCAGCTGATGCTGCTGCCAACAGCTCAGCCTGGGTGACAACCAAGGTGCAGCTCCATAACGCTGGCACTGCATGTAGTATGGGAAGGACATTACAATAGGAATAACTGCTGGGACCATGTTGCATATCCTGATTTACAAAGGCTGTCCAGGATCCTGCTGTCAGCACAACCCAATCTATCCCAGCTCCTTAAGATCACGCATTTAATTAATCTCAACCAGCAAAGCTGCAAGAAAATAAATTCAAGTTTCTACTTACTCTCATCATTGAGAAAACATGTAAGATGCTTTCAGGCTGCTGGAGAACAAGTTCCATCCAGTAACTAGAGAGTGAACCCCCACCCATACTGGTGACAGATGCTACTCCACACACAAAGACAGCACACATCTGTGTCAGCCATTGAAACAAAAAACCTCCTAGATTATTTTTGGTGGGAATACCCCTAGCAAGTTATTCATGCTAGTCACATCTAAAATACCACTCAACTTTTACAAGAAAGAGCACGTGTGCATGTGCACACTCCCCCAACTTGTCCCACACGCTTTATTCCTGAGAAGAGCCAAGACACACTGGATGCCTGATGAGGAGCCAAGGCTGTGAGGCTTGGGGCGGGCACACTCACAAAGGCAAACCACTTAAATCATGTTGCTAATTTTGCTGCCTTGGCGTGCGCCGTGCGTGTCGGCCGACCCCACCTTACGCCGCAGGGCGGATTTTTTAAGTGAAGAAAAAAAAACACCCTCCCTAATAAACTGCAATACAATAATGAAATCCAAGGCAGGACAGGGCATGATTTTCTGGGGTTTTTCTGCTCCACCAAAAGGAGAACTCACAAAGGTTGCCAGGCTGCTGTAAGTATAAAAGCCAATTACTGATCCTGTGCTCTAAGTTACCACTTAATATTCCAATGATTCCAGTGTGATTTTATTCAGCCTTTGAGAAAAGTTTTGTGTTAATAGCAGAGAGCTTATCCTATAACAGTTTTAAGAGGCTTGTGGCTGCCTACCAGCCCACAAAAGCCACTGGGAAGCACACTCTCTGCAACCAATTTGTTAAGATTTTGGGGAGTTTGTGGTTTTGTTGCCATAACTAGTCTGGTTATTGCTGTTTGAAGTTACACACCATGGGGTTATAAAACAAGCTCCATAGCTGGTAATTAACACCAGCGTGCTACCGCTGCTAACACACCCTGCACTTGGAAACCCAAACCAAACCACAGCCCTACCTGCTGAAAAATAACTACCCAAACAAATCCTATTAGTATTAAATTACAGCAACAGGCAATGAGTACAAAACCAAGCAGCTGAGAGGAAGGAGGGAACTACAGATAAAAATTACAAGGCTGGCCAGGAGCAATGGAATAGAAAGGTTTTGCATTTTCCTCGCTCCGAGGTGACTCACCGCGCTCAGAAGTTTGTTTTGATGAGAAGCAGTGAGTGGGGAAGGGAGCAAGCACAGCGCAGGAGTTTAAGGGGGTTCCAGAAATACCACATGTGAGGAGGAGGAAGGTGGTGGCATGGAGGAGGCTCTGGGGCCTTCAGCCTCCACACCTCAGCCACACTTTTTATCGTGTGGAAAAACGGATACAGAGAGGGCTGGAAACCCGCAGGCAGCAGCAGGAACAAAGCCTGCGTTCCTGGCCGAGGCTTTCACAAACCAGTGTCCATCATGGGAAGTAGCACTGGACAGAAACCTCCTCCTGCATGGACGCGGATGCGATGCTTACAGCGGGCACCATTCAGTCACGGTCCCCGAGCGACCAGGGCACGGCTGCCACACTAATGCCACTTCTAACACACAACCAAAGAGCTGATACCCTCATCCCACTCACGGCTGTAACTCTGACCTCTCTGACACGCATCTCTCGGGTCCTGAGAGCACAGAGATGCTACAGAACAGCGCAGACCCCTGTGTCCATTCGGGACGGTCCGGCTGCAGCTCCCTGCGCACTGACACAGCCTCGCGGCCAGGTCCGGGTCCTTTCCGAAACAATCTACGCAGAGCTCTGAAGTTTGAGAGCAACAGTTTTTGTTAAGGGGTGGCGGGAGATGCCGTTCAGCGGCGGGGAGCGGAGCACACGCGCTCCTGCTCCCTGCAGAGGAGCGGGGTGTCTGCCCGGGCCCTCTCCCGTGGCACCGGCGTTACCGCCGGGGCGGGGGCGGCCCGCGCGGGGCCCGTTATCGCCAACGAAACACGCGCGGACCGGGGCCGTTGTCCGGTGCGACGGGGCACCGCGGCCGGGGACAGGGGGAAGCGCCGGGGACCGGCCCCGAGCGGCCGCGGGCCGCAGGCTCGGGGCGGAGCGGGGCCGCCGCGGCGGGAGAGCACGGCCGGCAGCAGCCCCGGCCCCGCGCGGGAGTCGCCGCCTCCCTCCCGCCCCGCGCCCGGCCCCGCCCGCCGCCCCGGGCCCGCAGCTCGGCCGTCATGGGCCCGCCGGCAGCGGCGCCGTCGCCGCAGAGCGCACGCGCGGCCGCTCCGGTTCCGGCCGCGCCGCCCG